GTGGCATTAAAGAGCATTCAGTTGCTCCTAACCGACTAACACTCACAAATTTTGATAATAAGTTTGAATCGGTCTGTACAGTTTTATGAAATGAAAAATTTGATGAAACACCGGAGGAAACTGTGGCAAGCATCACGACATAACCTCAAAAGAAGCGAATGCAAATGGGATGGCGTTGTGAGAAGACTTTAGGATTGCAAATTTATCCGCAAAATAAGCAACAACAATAACAACAACAACAATAACAACAACAATGTCTATCTATGGATATTGCATAATTATTATTGTTCATTACAAAAACGCATACTATTGTAACATAAATTGTTAACAAATGCATTTCGTGCTTCGGTGATTTTCTCATTTTTTCTTTTTTTTTCCATTTTTTTTTTTGTTTTTTATTCAATTTTTTTCAATTGTCTATTTCTTGCTTTTCTTTTCTATTTTTTTTTTCCTCTGTACAAGTGTTAACAGTTTTTCATTACAAATCTGTTGAAAGCGCTACTGAAATGTGAAAATTATATGCAACATCAGTGTATGTGAATGTGATGTAGGTGTGAGCACATGTGAAAAGTGAAATGTATCGTATATGGTGTAACATATATATGCAAGTGTGAATAGTAGTCAATTGCATCAATATCTATATAATTAAGTGTTTTGTTTTTTTTTTTTTTTACGGGGGCGAGAAAAATATAAAATAGAAAATTTCTACAATAATAACTTGGACTAAAAGCGAGGAATAGGAATAGAAAGCAATGCGTAAAAAATTATCGAACAAACCAAGCTCAGGCAACCGGTCGGCAATCTATGCTTAGTAGCAGTACCTTCTCTTGCTAATGCTTGACGTTTAAAGCTACTGATAATTTGTCTTCCGGAAACTAATTGAATTCATGGGCGAGAAAGTAAATAATCCAAATAGCTATTAAGGCAGTACAACAACAAAGAAAAAATAAAAAAATTAAAAAAATTTAAAGTCAGAAGAACGAAGAAGAAGAGAGAGAAAAACATTTACAGCAATTGGTCAGGAAAACGGGGCCTAGCGCAGTGTGTAGGTCCGCCAAGTGCAGAAAAGGCCATCTAGAGAGAGAGAGAGAGAGAGAGTTTGCAAATTATCGTAAAAGGCGCATCACTTTGAAAGACTTTTATTAAGTCACTAAATTAATTTCCATCTTTTCGTTTTTCCATTTCATTCAAAAAGTTTTCACCTATGATAAGTACTTTTGAAGTACATAAGGATAATCTTTAATCACATTTTCCATTTCGTGAGTAACATATGTTCAGTGGGCAGTAAATCCTCTAAAAGGGGACATATCTCGATGTCCTCCAAAGCGTTGACATACTGGTCACGTAAATTTCAGAATATATCAGATTTTATTTCGAATGACTCAAGCGTTTCCTTGCATGACTGGATAATAACAATTGCTTCATGACTTTAAAATAATCCCAACGAACAGACTTAAGTCCTGTTTCGAGCGCATAAACAATCAATTGTCGGATTGATAGGAAGGCATTCATCAAATGTTTGGGTTTGCATCAAAATAAAGTGAAACTTTTAATGGGTAACTGTATTAGGCGATGCTGTATAGGGTATCCAACGGTCGGCCTTGTCCGACTATAATGTTCTTGTTTTCTCATTGTCGAACTGCAAAAAAAAAAAAACAGTTCGTACATCTTAAGAAATTCGTTTGATTCTGCCTACCTAATTAATGGCTGGTGGGCAAATAAAGTTTCTTCTCTCTGTTGAAGTGCTGCTATGGAAAACGGCTTAAGAAAGAAACAAAAAAAAAAAAAAAAATGAATAAATTCTTGTCATTTTCATCTCGCTTTCAGATTTTTTTTCTTTTTGGGATTTTTTCCCGCAATAAACAGATAATAAGCAATAAAATGGCGTAAGGATAAGGTAAACGTAGTCCTACGGCCCGGTCGAGTTCAATAAAACGCGATTCCCTCTGTCGCAAATTCAATGGGAAAATTAGCTGCCGTAATAATTGTCTAAATAAAAAACTGTATATACAAAATTGAACACCTAGCCCCGGTTATCATGAACTCTATGAAAACGTATGAATTCATGCGATTATCATTAATAATAGATAGATAATCCATTACATTTATTTAGATAGAAAATGTCGTGACTCTCATCGTACTATTTTATAATTGATGTCGACACAAATTTTTAATCAAAAAAAAAAAATTTATTCAAAATATCCGGTTTTAACTAACCAACACTGATTGACTATTATTCACTTTACATCTAAAATGCACATATAAACCAGAAAGAAACATGATTTAATGAGACGACAAAAAAAAAAAAAAAAAAAAAAAATTGTTCACGCTGACCACTGTCTGTGATATTGCAGCCGGTTGGCATGCTTGCCTAATATTAATAAGAGAAGGAAAAATAATAGAAAAAAATTTACTCAAACAATCCAAAACGAATCGTGAATACCCTTCCTCTCAATCTAAGCTTCTTTCCAGCGAAATCTGCTCATTAGAATACAAATTGAAAATTTCCAAAATCCTTTAATTAAAATTTCATCATCATAGGTTAAGAGAGTTTCTTTATTTCTTCTTCTTCTTCTTCTTCTTCTTCTTCTTCTTGTTTCATCCATATTCGAGCATTCACTCAACGAATTGTGGAATTTCAACGTTTTCAATAGTTAAGTGTGAAGATATGTTAAGCCGTTGCTTTTGGCATTGCCTTGAAGACCATGCCCTCGCAGCCTTGTATCCATTATTGAAATTATTTAATTTTTCTCATTCTTTTCCTTCAGTTCTCATTTATCCATTCCTTTCACGGAATTTTAGACCGATCAGCGAGGGATGAGCCATCAAATTGTAAATCGATCGACACTTAGCATGTCTGTCTGTCTGTCTGTCTGTCTGTCCATCTTCCCATTTGCGTAATGTCTGTTGTAAACATTCTCCTGGCCGCTAAATTGAAGTTATCGCCTTGATATTTGGCAGAAACATTCGCTCAAATCGGTCGAAAGACACGCCCACAGCACCACGTAAACTCAGAGTACTTCTGTTTTTTAATAGGTATAAAAAATTGCTTTTTTACTCATTACTCACAAACTAGAGCAAATAAATGTACAAAAATTCGAACACATATTCCATAGGCGATGCTGTAGCATCTGTGTACAAAAATGCAAAAAACTTGACCACGCCTCCCACCTATTGTATTGTATAAAAATTTTGCAATTTTTTTAATACCTTTATAACGCGCAAAAACAAACTTCAAAACAAACTTCAGAAGAGCTTAAGGTAGGCCCATACTTTATTATACAGATCGAGGCAGGGTACCGCTTCTGAGCGTGTCTGTCCATCCGTCTGTCATCTTTTCTCAAGTTCAACTCATAAGTCGCAAGTATTAGAAGCAGTTCGGGTCAGACCAACTTTTTTTTACCGCCTTCCATTTAAACACCCTATTTTGAAAACTATATTAAGCGAAGTGGTGTAGGGTATTTGATGGTCGCTCGCGGTCCGGTTTTCTTCTTTTTTTTTTTTTTTTTTGTCAAGAATATAAAAATTTTAACTGTTTGTAAAAATTACGTAATAATTGGTACAAGGGTGTATTAAATCTGCGCGGATGTAGGCAACACTCAGAAGACCCACTTTGGGATAGAGCCACCATTTACTTCACCTATCGGTTCAGAATGACACTCTTTGAATGGATTTCAGCCTGCCCGTCCATCTGTCCGTTTTGTTTTCTTGTATTCAACGACCGCAATTTTTGACATTTTTTGATAAAATTCAGTCCACTGAAGAATTTTAGCCCAAGGACGAGCGCAATTAAAAATGAGCTGAATCAGACCACTTTTCACATAAACCGAACATTTGAAAGGTTTTTGCAATTTTTTATATATCTCGAGAAAAATCAGTAGAAACTTATATTTTGGCCCACAGAAGAATAGGCGTAAAAATTTCGATCTGGTAGCCTATTTTTTTGAATCCTTTTCACAACACGGTTCAATTTTTAGGATTTTATAGCGAAAGATTATTTAGACACGTGTTTTATGAAATATATCTGTTGCGGTATGTTTGAAGCACGTAGATCCGTTTTTTAAAACATTTCTTATATAAAAGTCGCACACAAGGCTCCTACGAAAAGTAAGCGTTTAGATGATAACGAGTTATGGCTTTTACTATTCTGTGACGAAAAAACGCAAAGTGCCGTGTTGGTCGAAACGGTGTAAAGTATTCGATGCTCGTCCTCGTGCCTGACTGTACAACTTTTATTTGTTTTCGTTATGACCTAGTTCTCGTCCTATCGTAGCTTAGGCCTATGCTCGCATAATATGTAAAATGTAATTACAGTTATACGTTACTTTATAAGTTACAACTTCCACTTTGATCCGCTTTGATGAACTGCGTATGTGGTATGGATTCGCCTTCAATTTCCGCCTTCTGCTTCATATCTAATATCTATGCGATTTTCAAAAATCTTCGATTTCTAGATGGAATGGGACATTTTACTTGTCAATAGCTGTCTCATATTTTCAATCCGCATCACCTGTGTTATACGAAGAGTTGTTAGCATTGAATTTCATTTGCAAAGGCTTACCAGCCTAAAGAGAGCGGGGCATGTAGATTGGGAGAAGGGAAAATCAACTTGGGATTTTTAAAGTGTGTGCCATGCATTGCTCGCGCTATTTGATACATACGACTCTCAATACTTTCAAGCGTAACGATATATTGAAAATATCAGACTACTTTAATCTGGCGACTATAAAATAAAACTTGTTTCTAGATTAGGTGTAAATGTACGATGCGAGCGCACATAAAAACCATTAATTTGTTTGTTAGTTAATTTAAGAAAGCTCATAATTTATATAAATGATAATGAATACTTGCACGCATGTCTGTGTTACTAAAAAAATAATTTATGAATTTTCGGATAACTGTTCAATTTGAATTTTAAATTAAAAAAAGAAGAAGAAATCAACGCATTTTCATTATTATATATATAATATATATTTTCTTTTCTTTTTCATTTTTTACAGTAGTTTGATAGCTAAGAGCAAAAGTCATTCGGCCATAGTACCGCCACCAGGTGCCATAGCTATAGGCATTGGCCCACAGTTACCTCCCTTAGCAGGTGGTTTCGTGAAACTACGTCATGTTGTAAATTCTGGCGATATTATTGAGCAAAAATCACAACAACAACAACAACAACAACAACAACAACAACAAGATACTATTGATAACGTTTCTAAAAACTTCGAACATCTAACAGGTAAACGCAATTTCGAAGTGAATTACGAAAAGGAAGACGGAGAAGAAGAAGAAAAAATTTTAAAAAATCCCACAGCATTACCCGCATTTTTACAAGGAGACCTTAGACGTTCTAAAACACAAGTAAGTAAGAATTACGTTAACACGATTTGCGGTGTGTATATATGTATATATATAAATATCTTTCGTTTCTGTTGAAGGTCATGGGTCCCGATCAGCGTGCTTTGAATATAACTAAGACAAGTTCTATAGCCGATCGATTAGCAGCTTTGCAGAAAAGCGGCGAAGATGATTGGAAGAAACGCATCTCGAAACGTGATGATATCGATGAAATACGACGAGAGAACTTAGTTAACGTAAGTCTCGTGCGCATTTATTAATTAATTCATTGAATTCCACTTGTTTTCTACTCATTTTCCATTTAGTTTTCTCAATCGTATCAAATTACAATTAAATGCCTATACGTCTCTGGCCATTTGTGTTATATATATATATATATATCTATGTATATATATCTATGTATATATATATATATGCATAAGTGTAATTGTTTTTCATTATTTGCATCCAAATGACTTGTGTATTATTTCTATTGCCTTTTGTTACGTAATTCTTTACAAGTCTTACAGTCTTATTGTCTTATATACAAGACTACTTACTACATACATATTTTGCATTGCATTTAAATATAAGTAATTGTTTTTCTCACACCAAGTGTAAAGGTGCGATATGCGAAATTTTCTATAGTTTTTCTTTTCGTTTGCGGTGCGTGCGGTAACTTAATCCAATTTATTTTATGTCTAGTTTATGTTAAACGCGTTCTCTTTCAAACTCAATTAACTGCAATTTCCTTAAAAGCATTACATTTCTAAAGTCTTTTTAACAAGCAACGTATAATTGAAAGCCAAGTTTTTCGGCACAGATTAAATCATAAAAAAATGGCGATCCCCTTAAAGCGAATGTTAATAACATATGTGGCGGGAAAAGAGCGCGTTTAAGCTAATTCTCATTTTTTACCTCCATATATCGGAAATAATGTAAAAATCCAGAAATACATTCAAATAATCTTCCATTCATAGATTCCATAGTGATCGCATAGATCCCAGTTGTGATCAACTAACTGGCTGAACTTATTCGATTTGTTCCATTTTTTTTTTTCTTTGCTTTTTTTCATCATTTTCATTTGACTGCAAAGCATTTTTTGATTGGCCGCAACCGGTGCGAAGCAAGAAACAAAAAAAAAAAAAAAGTGGAAGAACGAACTGAGCGGAGCCCTTTTGACTTCTCGCTTTGCTATTTACCGGTTCGTTCGACTTAACTAGAAATGATCATACAAAGATAGATTACTTCTCAATAGGGATTAATCTATGGATGACGATCTGTTCGGAGGATAAGCAAGATAAGATGCGGACTGATCCCCCGATTGGGCAAATTTTTCTTGGAAGAATTTGCAAATTACATGAGATATCTTGATGACGATAGCGAGTTGTCCTCTGATTTTTCTTCCATAATACTTTTTCTTATAGATTTCATCAGAAGACCTATTATTACATTTTTATTTATATTATTACTAGCTTCGTAATGTTTTCCAATACGCCGATTGCTTCGTTCCCTTTGTGTGCCTTTACTTGTACGAAATACTTTCCAGTCGGTATCAGTGCCAGATAGTTAGAAAGTTATTGGAATCAAACAAATTTTCATCTGCTTTTTTTCTTCTTTTCACTCCTGGACAAGTTCCCTTTTTTCTTTTCGATTTCATAGGCGTATGGAACCTTGCGATTTTCTCAAAGATATACATTATTGGTATCAAAACACACACACACACACACACCCACCGCGAGCTGTATAATAATTAATGAACAAATGCATAAAAGTGAGGATACTTCACGGTCGTTGCACGACTGTTCAGTTTGATTCTTTTGGCTAGAAGGGAAAGAGGTTTCCCATTTCTTTGTCGCATTCACCGAAGGTTTTAATTACATTTCTATTTCTGCGCATAAATGAAAAAATATTCCATACTGTATTACTTCCGTCCTCTTCCCTTTATTTTGAAATTGTCGTCTTTCGTCTTCTTCTTGATTTTCAATTTTTTCGATCTATCTCACTCTATATATGCAATTTACTCTATGGATGGATTCGTTTGCCGGTACTCGACGATCAAGTATATTAAAAAACATTACGAAGCTAGAGTAAATTTAATATCAACATCATATATAAAATGAAGCATGTTATTTGGCATTTGGTCGACAACGAACCTATGCAAAAAAGAACTAATAGAGTCTTTAATATTCATTGCTTGAAATATTATTTCAAGTGGCTGCTTTCATTACATAATTAGTTTTAAGTCCGTATTGAAGAAAATCTTTGAAATGTAACACAACACCTCATTTGTGGTATGTTGCAAATAATTTGTAATTTTGCTTAAATGCAGATAATTCAAAGTTTAGTTATCTCTCATAAATATTGCATTTACATACAGAGGTGTATAAAAGGAATTAAGAAATTTATAGCATTTATTAAAATGTAAATACGTTTTTTGTTTGTAACACTTTTAGATAGCTTTTGCTATAAAATATCTTTTTTCTTGAATTGTAATAATAAAATTTCTATTGCCTACCTTCCGGCTGTTGCTTTAAATTAAATACTACTTGTATACTGACGTTATCGATGCAATAGTTTTGTGTAGATTTTTATATCCACCACTAGATGCTAATCCGTCATGTCATATCGTTTAACACCTGCCCTGTAGATTGTTTAATAAATAATATATAAATTATTTATGATGATGATTGTGAGTTCTGCAACAAACATAACAAATTTTTTATATACGGCGGGTTAATATAACACAGAATTACATAGTTACGACACCACACAATTTGAGTTAAGTTAGATTACATTAAATTTATGCGGATGTAAAGATTGATTTGCTTTTTATACTCGCCATCAAAGGATGTGGGGTATATTCATTTTGTCAAAACGTTTGCAACGCCTAGAAGGAGCCATTAGAGACCCCAGAAAATAAATATATTCTTGATCAGCATCAAATTCTGAATCGATTTAGGCCTGGTCATCTGTCTGTCTGCGGTAACGCAGCAACCAGTTTCATATTTGAGTCAAAGATTGAAAGTTCTTGCATGCAGATTGGTATTGAAATTGAGGTAAATCGGTCAAGGCCTACAATACAATACAACCTGAAGCCACTTTTGCTTCGAAAAATAAAGAAATCTATAGGAAAATGGGAAAAATGGCCCACGCCCACTATTCAATATTATAGCATATTAACTATTATCCGTTTGCATCACCCAGAAAGAAGCTTCAGAGAACATATAAACTTTACGTATTGTCGATATTAAATCGCTCTAGAAACTATTTGTCAGCCCGCCTGCCCAACTGGCGTGTGAAATGTGCTCATGATCGCAAAAATATAGATATCTGCTTCAAATTTAGCAAAAACGTTGAAAGTCGTTGAACGCAGATTGATTTTGAAAATGGGCCAAATGCCTTAAGTGAATTCCGGCTTTCTGGGCCCACAAACGAATAGATACGCGATTAAAAAAATTGAGAAAAAAATTTAGCCACGCCCATTCTGTGTCTTTTGTCTTTTCTCCCCTGATCAGTATAAAAGATTAGATAGGTCACAAGTGAATATAATTGTCGTGTTTCTTAAATTTGTCTATCAACATTTTTTCAATAGTAAGCTTTTGTAGATAGCCCTAAATATGAGTGATTGCAACGGATTGATTGACACATTATCTATACATTTGCCCGATAAGATATACTTGCAATTCAAAAGTTAAACAAACAGGCAACTTGTGCAATGTGGAGTATCTAAGATTCGTGCTAAAGTGAGTTTATTATTCTTGCTTGCTTCCTTTTCAATTGATGTCATTTATTGTTACTTTGTTGCTATGAAACTGTTTTATTTGGCATTGAAAAAAATTTCACTTATTTTATTTATTTATTTTTTTTTTTCTTTCATTCTTAAATGCTTGCAATCGTTTTATTGATTTGTTGTTTGTTTATGAAGCATAAATAAAAATTATTGGACAATACAACGCACGAGAATATTAATTATAAAAATATCCATAAGCAAGCTTGCGCTCTAGAAAGGCTAGCATTATTTACTTACTGCAATAATCAGGTGAAATAGAAAGAGAAATTACTTTTCTGCTTGCTACGATCAGGCCAACGCTTAATAAGAAGGCGGAAATTTTAATAGGATATCAAAATCATATGTTTTATCACCAATATTTTTTAATTTAATTAATACTGAAAATCCCTCGTAAGAAGTTTGCTGAACTGAATGTATTGTCTGTCCAGCATCTATGTAATCTCCCGCCCGAAACTCTCGAACAAATATTAAACGATTTAAAAAAGAGAAAATAAAATGCAAGCGGCTTAAATGTTTTAAGCTTCGTTTCATTACACGCTACACTATGAGTGGCAGAAAATGCGTCAAGTTTGTGCGGAAGCTTTTAATTGCTTGAAAATAAATATATAGTATGTACATATGTCCCAAATGTGTTCCGGGTATCATTTCACAAAATAGTTCCGATGAAGCGGACAAGTAACAAATTTCTGAGCTAACTCAACTAACTGCAGTGATGATGAAAATGGTATATGTTTCGAAACACTTTGACTTATGCGTGCACGTATTTCAAATGTTTGCTTGGAATGCATATTCCAATCGTTCCAAGTTCTTTGCTCGCTAGGTAGCATTCGTAGCGCGGTTCTTCCTTTTCGCTAAGAGTCAATGAAATTCAACAAAAGAACGGAAAGGAAGTTTCGAAACACAATCCAAAACAGTCCAACGAAAAGCATTCTTCAGCTTCGGCATCCTACAACAATAATACTTGATCGCGGAGATTATCTTATTAAGCATATATCTGGGTATTAGAAATTAAATTACTCTTGAAAAATATTAGAATTTAGCAATACAGAGTCCATTCTCGCGGTGTATGTTTACTTTAAAGGGATCTCCAGCTTAAGCCGTAACTTGGCGCAGATGGCATTGTGAAAAAAGAATATTATAATAGTAAGCATTTAAATTAATTTGTCGAATTTTTATTTTAGAAAATCTTTTCCCAAAATTCAAATGAAAACTGTAAAGGTTGCCGCATGGCTCGGTCTGGGAAAATGCTTTCAAATTATTGAAATGCCATCCATATATATGCATATATATATATATATATATATATATATTTCCTTTTATCACAATGAATCTTTTATTAGCACCAAAACCAAACTCATCTCCCTATTTTCCCTCTCGTCTCTTTTCTCGAAGGTATTACGCGGCCATGTGCTGCCTTTCTGGGCATTTGTCGAATGATAAAAACAAATTTATACGTTTACGGTC